AGAATTAATGTCATTTGAAGATGGTAGGTCATGTAGAAAGAAAGAAAGAAAAGAGAAGTGGGGAAAGTACATCACCTTGGGGGACACCAGCTTCAGTGAGCACAGCAGAGGAGGATTTGCCTTTGTATACGGTGTACTGCATTCTGTTTGAAAAGTAGGAATGCAACCAGTTAGTGACCCAGGACTCGGTTTGTGTCATGGAGAGCTTATTTAGCAAGAGACTTCTAGGCACAGAGTCGAAAGCAGAAGTAAAGTCAAGAAACGTGCAGCGGACATATTTGGCACCTTTGTCTAATGATGAGACAATACTGTTGTGTAAGACGGCTGCAGCGTCTAAAGTGCTCCTACCCTGTCTGTAGGCAGATGGTTTGGGGTCTTCAAAGCATTTAAGGGAGGGTTCGAGTTTAAGAAGTACTAGTTTTTCCATGAGCTTTGGAAACGGGGAAGTGATGGCGATGGGTCTGAACTTTACGTTCTTGCTATTTCCAGGTTTAGAGACACGGACTATTTTAATGTCTTTCCATGGAACAGGTACAACGTTTTTGGAGAAAGAAGCATTTAGGATGTTAGTTAGTGGAGAACATAAAGCATCTGCACATTGTTTTAGAACATATGCAGGTATGCTATCAGGGCCAAGACTATGTGAGGGCTTAAGAGTTTTAAGACATTTCAAAACATCGAGAGTATTGAAGTCCTGGAAGTTATCAGCTACAAGATTAATAACGTTAGAAGTGGTTATAGTAGAAGGAGAGCATATAAAAGACTGATTAAGAGCATTCACATCATAAGGGGGAAAACATTACATCGTTTACTGTCGCCAGTAATTTCATTGAAAAGCTTCCACATGCTGATAGGAGATTTGCATGATAAAAGTGTATGGTTATAGATAGCATTAAGATTTTTGATTTGAGCATTAATCTTTTTAGGTCCTAACTTATCTTCGAATTTATATAATGTTTCTTTTTGCCTGTGTAATTGTTTGAGACGAGGAGACGGGAAGTGGTCAAGGCGTTTGAATAGTGTTTGTTTGGGACAACATATGTCAAGACAGAACTTGACATGATCCGTTATATTGGCGATTGTGTCATCTAATGTACTTTCATAGAATAAATCCCAGTTAGTCTTTTTTAACATGCACCCGAGAAAGAGTAAGTTGTCAGATGTATAGCATCTTTGTTGTGCTTTCATAGAAAGGTGTGAGAAGACTTTATTATGTGTTTTACTGTATATTTTTGGTAAAACACGAACAATACGGTAATCAGAGTTAAGTATCGGTGCACGTTTACGTGTTTCATATACTCCTTAGTCATTAGTAAAAACGAGGTCGAGTGTTTTGTCAAGTCGAGTGGGAAATTTGACTATGTTTGTGTGACCAAGTGCTTGAAGAAAGGAGCAATCTGAGGAGTTGAAATCCCCAGTAATAACGGATAGAGAATTGTCGAAGTTGGCAGCAGCAAACGTGGTGAATTCATCAGCAAAATTAGATAGATCAGATGGTGAGCAACTAGGAGAAACGTACATGTATGTAACAAAGATGTGTCTATATTTGGGACGATATTTGGCAGTAATGCAGTCTATGAGGTCATTTGAGAATGAGAAGCAAACATTACTTGAAACAGACCATTTGGAGTGAATAAAAGTTGCAACTCCAACACCATTTTTCTTATTACAACATTGACGGTCTTGTCGAAATAAAAAGAAGTCCTTTAGTGACATAAGATTGTCATCATACTGTTCATGTAACCACTTTTCTTGTAATGTGATTATGGCAGTATTATGATAAGTGTCAGTGGACATCAGAGATTGTAGGTACATTATCTTGTTTGGCAGAGAGCGGCAGTTTGTGTTCATTGTGACAGGGACTGTAGTTAAGTGTATTGGTGTACGTTTGAGAGTTCTCTGCCAGATGCTTCCTCCTTGATTACTTAGTAATATGAACGATATTCGGTGGTAAATGATTATTAAAATTACGAGAGTAGATGATCCCGTTAGAATTAATATTAAGGTGATAAATAAATGTGAGTAAATTAAAAAAATTAGTCCCTTTGATAAATTTGAATAAGGCATTAAGAATACAAATTTCGCCGCGAGATGATATCATCATTTCGTGGTTTCTTTACAACTAACATGGTTAACAATAACAAAACGAATTTCATGACAATTACTCAGTTATATAAAAAACCAAAAGTACATACTATGCTAATGACCAATCATATTTAAAAGGTCATGTAGTCCATGGTAGGCGAAGATTGAAGTCTATTGTGTTTTGACTGTACACACAGTTTAGGATGTATGTGACTAATCCAAAGTGCTTCCACCACCTTCAATAACCTTGAATTAGAGTTATGTGAAATAATTGTGAAACAGTCATTAATATTGATTGATTTTGTGACCTGACATTAATAAGTGTATGCAATGGATGATGCTGGATTTCTATTCATTATAATGCCTACCCTCCCCTCCTCATATTTAACGAATCGTTTTCCAGCAGTTTGGAAGTACATTAAAATTGTACCATCTATACCTACTGGAGCATGTTTTAAATTTAGACCTATTGCTATTACCTCCCCTTTTCCAAAAGCTATAGAGAAGTTACTCTTACTTCACCTTAAGTCTTTAACGATCCCAAATAATTCGCCTGTAAAATTAGTAGAAGTACTTTATATGCATACGAACTGTGATCAAGATTTGATCGGATAGTTGCAAAATAATTGAGCGCTGAGTGAGAAGTAGACATTTATAAAGTTATATTTGTAAAATCTCAGCGAAATTGAAATGATTAATTCCAACGTTTCGTTCGGCAATCTGGTCCGAACTTCTTCAGGGAAATTAATCGAAATTAACATAACAAAGTTTCTATATAAAGGGACACATCTTGTTTTTAAAATTCTTGTCCAATCATGAATCATGCAACGGGTATCAACATGTATCATAAATAAATAAATATAATTGTATGTTTATACAAAAGTACAGTCAATAGGTATGCTAAACAAAACAAAAATTGTATGAACTAAGATCAAAAAACCTTTTGACCTCAGACTTTCAAAATTTGTTTACTTTTGTTAAAATATATGTGTGTATGCAGTATATGCAGGATACAATGGTGTGTGTGGGTGGGTGGAACAGTCATAAAACATTTGCTATTCTCATATGAGCTGTGATCAAGATTTGACCGGATAGTTACAAAAAATTGGGTTGTCAAATGGCTGCATTCTTATTTCTTAGGAAGAAAGCAGTACAATGTATGTCAGTCAGGGAAAGTCGTCCACTTCGTTGCTTACTGAGGTTGGCGTTCCTCAAAGTGCTGTCCCTTCTCCTTATCTGTTTTTTTTCTTCTTGCATGACTTGCTCACTCTCATGAAATGAATTTTTTTTAGTATGGTGATGATCTAACTATTTCAATGTCTGTTAACTCACAGCTTCACTGTGCTAAGATGAACAGCTTTCTATCAGGAATTAGTAAATGGTCTTAAACTAAATCCTTCCAAATGTCAGACTGTTAATTTCAGCTTCCGATGTAAACGAAAATTAAATGAAGCCATTGGTTCCTATGAACTTTGTGAAATTGATGATACTGATATAGAAATCAAGTCTGAAGTTAGGTATCTTGGATTAATTCTTTCTTCTGATCTACCTATCCTGGACTTCTCTTGTCTTAGCAATTTGTAAAAGAATATTTGGTCTGACGTTTTACATTAAGAAGTTAAGGCACTCAGGCATAACCCAATCAACCCCTCCTCCTTCAGTTTGTCAACTCGTGCGCATCTCACCTATTCTTCTTTACTGTTCACCCCTGCTTATTCTCTCCTGCATTGCTTATGAAAAGACTATGTCATACTTCGTAGAACTCTGGAGACTGTCAGTCAGTCAGTAGGGCGTGTGGTATCCCATTGGGCCATATCGTTGACATTGTCATTCACGATAGGCACTTGATGTCATGCAACAAATTTGCTTAAGGAATTTTGTCAGACAGTGAGCATCCACTTTACTTAACCGCAGCTCTAACCTTGTGTCTCCTCAGGTAAAACAAGCAGTCTTCTCAGAAGACACGTACGTCTAAGTATAAAAATTCCACTGTACCATATTTCGCTGCACGTACTTTATGTGGTGAAAATAGTGTTAGGCATGAACCCTTATAACATCAACCTTTAATGTTATTGTACTTCTTATATTTATAATCCTCTCAAGTTTTTGTTTTATTCGTTTATTTTTTTCATCATCACATCATTTAAGCTGTGTTAATTTTGTATTTTCCCTCACCATGTTGCTATACTAACAGAACATTAGACTCAATGCCTCTATAATGACATGCTAAAATTTCCAAACTGACTGTACCGACAATATTGTTTGAAACAAACTCACTGTTATTATTATTATATTTAATATTCTCAATTCGTGCTTCGAATATTTTCGACTTTATATCGTAAACGTGGACAAATTCCTCTGGTTAATTTTGTTTTTATTTCGCTTATATTTTGAGTAAATCAGATGCAATATTGTGTGTGAGAAATGCCGAGAATTCCATTCTCTATTATAAGTATTGTTCGTCTTGGAATAAAGTAGATTATTATTATTATTACCGGTCTTACTATTGGCGCACTGAGGTAAAGGAGCGGGCGTCGGCCGAGGATCGCTACCGCTAAGCCACCCCGGTTGCGCTTACTTACTTACTTAAGATAGTGGATTCTATAAAACCAATCGATGCACCGAGGATAATGAAGACAGACTTTAAAAATTTAAATGATTAATATTTTTTATTAAACATCATTAATAAAAAATAAAAACGGACAATTAGTGATATTTTTAGATTTCCTTATGCAATAATAATAATAAGAATAATAGTCTGTCTACATCACACTAACTGACATGTACAGAATAAAAGGAAGAGTAAGGCGGTACAAAAAGAAAGCTTTTTACAGTATATGTCTAGTTATAATGAATAAACACTGGTGCATAGAGTAGTACAGCTAATTAAAACACAAAACAAGCTGCAAAACAATCTATGAGATGATATTATAGACAAAACTGGTATAGTTAGTATTGGCAAAGAGAAAACTGAACATGACAACAAGCGGTACAACTAAATTATCAATCTGTTCAGTGTACGCTTCAACGACAACTCCACACAACAGTGGTATAACGCCTGATTTCCACGACCAAGAATAATAGTAGGACAGACCAGTCCAAGCAATAATCTGAAGACATTAAGGAAAAAACGATTAGTGTTACATTATTATTATTATTAATATAATAAAATAATTGAGCAAAGAATATCACCCCTCCTCTTCTGACTCTACAACTGTATTAATATATGCATGTTTATATACATAGAATATTCTAGATTCGTAGTAGTCAATAACAATATTAGTGTGCTTTTTAAATTATAACATCGATTTGTAAAGTAAGATCACAATGGAATCACCACCGTAGTTCATTAAAGATGCCTAAATTATATAATTAATAATAATAATAATAAGATATAGTAGAAAATAGAATATCAACTAAAATGAGGAGAATTCCACAAAATTCAGGATTATTCAAACCTAGATGGATGGCCAAGTGGGTAAGGATAAATTCATGTCTAAACAAACCAACTTCTCTTGGATGCACAAATTAGGCTTGTTAATCTGGATCCCGACACGGCCAGCCAGCCACAGCAATATTTAGTAGTAGTCGAACTCTTAAGGCGAGATCGAAGGGTTATAGTGGAGAGTCGTAACCAGTAGGGTGCAGCAGGTCGGGTGTGAGGACAAATACTTCCTGAAGACATTGGCTAGCGGTTGCGCTATATCGTGAATTGGCAGAAGTTAAAATTCGTGCACAGGCCATTGGATCGGGTCCCGGTGGCTGAAGGATGAATGGTCTACGAGCTCCCCTTGTAACCAGAAGGTACTGGGGTTCGAGCATTGGCAGTGGGTGCGTCTGGGAATCAGAAGAAGTCCCATCGGGTTGGTGTAAGTCACTGATTATCCCCATATACAAGAAGGGAGACAAGTCTTCCTGTGATAATCACAGAGGGATTAGCTTGACTAATATAGTATCTAAAGTCTTAGGCTCAATAATCATGCGTAGACTAGGTGGTGCTCGGGAGGCACAAACACGAGAGAGCCAGGCAGGCTTTAGACCAGGAAGAGGGTGTGTTGATCATATCTTCACCCTCCGACAGATTCTAGAACATAGGCATTCCTACCGGTGTCCAACAGTCATTATATTTCTTGACCTAAAGGCAGCATTCGACTCTGTCGATCGAGAAGTCCTCTGGAGATGCTTGGCTGTAAAGGGAATCCCGAGAAAATATATTGCACTGATTACGGCACTCTACTCGTACTCACACAGCCAGGTGAGGGCTTACGGTGAGCTGTCATCTGAACTGGTGACGACCAGTGGTGTCCGTCAAGGATGCCCATTATCCCCTTTTCTATTCAACTTCATCATAGATGTGTTAATGGACTTAACCCTAAGTGACTTCAGCGACTCAGGGATTGACTTGCTACCGGGGAATAATCTCGTTGACTTGGAATATGCAGACGATATAGTCCTTCTAGGCGAAGACGCTGACAAAATGCAGAGTCTTCTAAACACCTTGAGCTGCAATCTACGAATGTTTGGCATGCGATTCGCTCCCGCCAAATGCAAAATGATGTTACAGGACTGGACTACATCGACTCCTAGATTAGAAATAGGGAGTGAAGTGGTAGAGCACGTTGACCGCTTCACTTATTTGGGAAGTACCATCCCCCAGTGCCAACGGGCTGATCTCTGACGAAATCTCAGCACGAATACAAGGGGCTCGTTTCGCATTTGCCAGTTTACGCCGACTCTGGTGTAGACGAGATGTTCGACTATCGACCAAAGGGCGGGTGTACTGCTCATCAGTCCGCTCCATCCTCCTTTATGGTTGTGAGACCTGGCCACTGAGAGTGGAAGACATGAAAAGATTAGCTGTCTTTGATCATAGGTGCCTGCGCTCTATTTCCCGTGTAAAGTGGCATAATAAGGTGAGCAACATTGAGGTTAGGCGTAGAGTTCTAGGTAAACAGGGGAAATCAATCGACGAAGTCGTGAAGCTACAAAGACTGAGATGGTTAGGACATGTGTTACGTATGCCTAGTCATCGCCTTCCTCGACGAGTAATGTTAGCGGATATAGGGTCAGGCTGGAAGAGAGCTAGCGGCGGTCAAACAAAAACTTGGCATCAGTCAATGAAATCCACAACAGTTGGTCTTAGCCACGTAGGAAGGTGTAGACTTCCAGGCTGGGGTTCTCGGGACGGTAAAAATCTATGGTTGGAAACAATTGGTGACATGGCTCGAAATCGTTCTCAATGGCTGGCTGGTGCAGATGCATCCACTCCTTGTGACTTATGATCTCCAATGTAACTGTTTTTTTTTATTACTCCTTTGTCTCACACCTCTGCTCACTGTTTCTATTATGCTTTTCTTGTACTTTCTTCTCTTGCTTCGCGTGCTACACGGAGTGTGGCGACTTGAACTTCCATACATTTGTGCAAAGTTCTATGTCGATAACAGACAGACAGACAGATATAAACATATGCATATATACCTGTAGAACCGGAAGAGAGAGTTGCCGAAAAGGCTATTCTTTGCTTGAACTTTCTTTTGTTTTGTAGATAATTTCTCTTTACAACTTCATTCCACTTGTTATTTTATTACTCACATAGATTAAATTATTAACACCAAACAGAGTTTACAACTTCGCCAATCTGGAAATTAACACTAGTTATCAGCTAATCAAATTCCTAGGATCAGAATTACAATAAAAACACATCGGTAGCTTATTTGTATACAAAGTCACATAAGCCCGAGGATGTTGCATGAACAGTCTTCTTTGCATTGCACAGAAGCCCTAGACATTCATTCAGTTGGAAGAATTAGAACTATGCATACCGAAGAAAATTACTGAACCACTTCTACTAACAGCTCCGTTGATTTGACTTGGCTTTCTCTTGTATGCTTATTTTTCTAACTACTTAAAACCCTTACGTAATTCCGTATTCTATTTTGTTTCCAAGTACACCCTGAGCACAACTCTTTCATCAAAATATTCAATGTTATTACAACGTAACTCTTCCTTAACAAGCGTTTGTGACAACTCATCCCTTTTATTACACTACCCTCTTATATCAACATCCAATTCTCGTCTGAACTTACTAATTGTATTTTCGTTTGACAAATTTAATGTACGCATACACACATATACAAAACAACCATATACAATATTTGCGGTTGTACAGCTATGAAAATGAATTCGCCGCCGAAAAGGGACTCTTCGCTGAACTACTGACTGGTCTTCTGTCTAATAATGTTCGAATGGGAATTTAAAATTGCTGGTGACATCTTGATGCAATCGCTAAATATTCAGACTGGATATACGCAGTTATAGTATAGCTTCTTATTCGTATAAATAATATACATGATTCGATCAAACGTATCAAAGGGAGTGAAGTTAAGACATCTGGGCATAGCCGAAGCACTAGTCACCCATCCAAAAGCTCAAACCTACGCTAGGTATCCTAAAGAAATGAGTTCAACCCTTGTCCCTGCCTACCATGGCCATCATAACACAGATAATTCTTCTAAATAGTAACTATCCCATTGACTTTCTTATCCAAACCTCCTGTTTATTCACGTTATTTTAAGTTTTTCTAAGTCCGTCCACTGTTTTACACTACCATTTTTTCATTTCCGAACTTCGTGTTTATTTTGTCATTTTATTATTTCTACATATTTAATCTCTGATTGCATAAACAATTATTCGTCACATTAGTTATGATCCCACCAAATTTTGTTATCCAAATATCCTGGCTATCTGTTGTTGTTATTTCTACATTTCTAACCCCCAATTGCACAATCAGTGTCAATCGTCTCAGTAATTATGATGCTACTTTGTCTGAGCTTTATCCATCCTACCGCCCTGTTTATTATAGCATTTTAATTCCTAATTTCAATTTTATTAATTTGACCCTTAATCGGAAACTATTCTGGAACTTTCCTACCTATTTATTATTATAAATATACGAATGTACAGCTCTGTCTAGTTGACGATGATTTCGTCGAAAAGAAAATTTCCTTCGCTGCAACTGTCTTCTTAATAATTCCTATGATCCAATGTGTATATTCCGTGGTATAAATGTATAAATGATATGTGCGTGGCGGTGGCGTACACCCGCTGACTAAAGAAACATTTTTTGACCTTTAATATGTGGACAATGCTGTCTTATAGGCTTCCCAAATCGCACTAAATAAGTTAGCTGTCAGTGGCTGTAGGTATATTAAGAGAGCATTATTGTACCAAGTGTAAAGTGTTGTTGCGGGATTGGCAGCAGCCACCAATTGTAACCAACCTCACAGATGTGTAACGTTAGAAATAATTAATAATTTTGTGTATCAAGCTATTATTATTATTACTATTATCATCGTTATCATTATTGGTTACGGGATTTCATCATGAGCTGACATTGGTTAGAGAACTATTAGAAATCCTGGGAGTTGGTGCGTACTCATGAAGAGTCTCAAACTACGCTGACGAAACAGCTGGCTATCCATTACACCCTGCAGGTTTTCCAATGGTTCTCTCTAACCAATGTCAGCCCATGATGTAATCCTGTAACCAATCAACTGAATCTCTACAAACCAATAACTGAATATTATTATTACTTTTACTATTATTATTATTATTTTTATGAGTTGATCAGGGATTGATATCAGTTAGAGAAGAAATGAAAACCAGCCACAGGGAGTAATGGACAACTGTTTCCTCCATCCTAGTTTGAGAATAATCGGCACTACGCACCCACCTCAATGGTTGGGTTCGAATCAAGGACCTTCGGGTTACAAAGTTACTCTCTCGTTTTCAATGGTTCTCTAATTCATATCAACCCATGATCAACTCGTAAAAACAAAACCAACCCTTACAAACCAAATTCGCTAGTGACTGGTTGAATGAAGCAACAAACAATCTATGAAACTTATCGCGCGCTATTACATGTGTTGAAATTTCCTTCTTTCTTCCCTTCCCGATTATAAGTAACGAATATTGTTTGAACTTGTTAAGCATGATTGTTTTCCTTCCAGATGAAGTTCTATATCCCTTCTCTACTTATATATTTTTTCCCTTCTTTCTTTTTTTCTTTTGATCTAGGTTGTTTCATTATTACTGTGTGACGCATCCTTCTTGGTGCCATATTGTACTAAGTTTTTATGCGTTTAAATAAAATAAATAATACCACTATTATTATTATTATTAAAGGTATTTTAGTGTAAACAAGTACGTGACAAACACTCACCTGCGATAAAAACGAAGCTGAAGATCCTAAGAAGGTTCGATGTGATCCAGGCCAGCAACGTTTACCATAAGCCTTTCCAATTAATGCAGCAAAACTATCCCCTATAGCTATAGACAATATCCCTGTCCATGATGTCGGCTGTACACGCATTTCATAGCATAAATGATCTGGAGTAGAAATGGTTGTGATATAAAACAAGAAAAAGGAAACCATCAGGCGTATAATGATGATAATAATACAAACTGTGAATTTGATCAGCACAGTTGTAGAGATTTGAAAAAAACAATAAATCCATGGTGAAGCTGATTGTTGAATGAGGAGAGTTAAATATTGAAAAGAGTTAAAGAATAAATAGTCAACACAAAGTTTAAAAATGACGTAACCTAGTGTATAAGTGAAAAACTTGGAAGATGTGGACTTCGCCGATGTGATATATATGTCTGATTTCCTAGAAATTGGAAGATATCTAAGTGAAAAGTAACACCCTGACAGAAGAAGCATCAAATATACGACTTCAGGTGAATATGAACAAAACAGAGGTGATAAAGATTCCTCACAAATACCAAATGCAACAACAGAAAACAATCAGACAGCATATATGGGAGGAGCCTGAAAGAAACAACCTCATTCACCTAACTGGGAAGCAGCGTTTCAACTACAGGCCGATGGAACTGACGAGGATTACATCAAAGCAGCGAGGATCGCCAACGCAAAACAAGCTTTCATTACTCTTAAGTCTGTGTGGAGGTCAACAGCAGTAAGCGTGAAAATTACCATCCGGATCAGAGACTTGACCAGCGCGTCGTAAAGACCAACTCAAACAACTACTACACACCTTCATCAACAGCTAGTTGTCTTCGCTCAATACCACTCAAGACCAGATGGCCAGCCGGCCAGAAAAGATCAGAAACAGGGAGGGATCTCTGGAAATGACTGAACCAACCCAACACACCACGAACCGATTGTGCAACAAATAAGACGGAAGAAATGGAGTTAGGTGGATTGGATTGTGGCCATCCTCTGAGAAAACAAACCATCAAGTGAGTGACATCGCTAGACAAGCCATTTCTCCAGTGGGACCCGACCGAAAGCGAAGTGGCGAGTTGGTCGTCAGTGTGACGGTGAGGGTGACATGGAGGAGGTCATGTGAAGGGGAGGAGATGAAAGCATGTGGGGACACCTGGAGCCAGGTGAAAACGTTGGTGGAGAACCGAATGCAATGGAGACGTGGGCGGTTGAAGCCCTATGTTCCTATAGCAATTAAAGGAAACAATACTAATAATGTGCGTCAGCGGCACAGTGGTTAGGACTCTCGGCGACCATGCACACTGTCCGGGGTTCGATCTCCTGCCAACGCACACCTAATATCAATGGTCGGCCTGCAAAATTTGGGCTACCGATATCACATGCTGAAAATTCCATAACTGTACCAAAAATACGGTGTAGAATCAAGCTGTAAACAAAAAAATAATTGTAATAATAATACAAATCACTTTGATTGGACACTAGTAACTAGTGATAAAATTCAGTCTGCGCCAATGAAAGGACTAGACACGTCACACTAGTTACTAGTGTCAAATCAAAATACCCACTACAGTCCTACAGGAGGTCAATCGCGGGCCCGAATAGCTCAGTGGTGATGTCTCTGACTGCAGTTGGCACTGGGTGACGCGGGTTCGAATCTCAGAGGGGACATGAGTTCCTTCAAGGTTGCAGATACGACTTGCTGATGAGTGCCAACTAGCACGAAACCTAGGTCATGTTCAAGTCTTCCTGTGGCCGATTGCCTCCAACCATCTAATACAAATCACTATTAGTGCTACTACTCTTGTGGCGAGAGCTGTCTTCTAGCCAAAAATTGGTAGACAGTAATTTACGTCAATGTTTACAGTCATGAGAAAAGAACAAGAACAAATGCTGACTGACTCAACCACCAATCACAGAACACTTTGTTTGCGTGGACGAATACAATTAGCAGATAGCAGATGATCTGACCTCCAAGAAACAGTCACAAAGAGAAACAACCAATCAGAAGACTGTGTTTGTCTGCTAACTATAATCTATAATAATGTTCATGAAAATCTATAAATGTGTTGATTTCCTAAATAAACGATCTGTCTGTCTGGCCCTTTTTTTCTGTTGTTACACAGGTAAACTTTATGTACTGTATCATATCATTAGGACAATGAAGAATACAGACATCACACTCAGGAATGTTTTCAATAAATGCGTTAGTTGTAATTATGACACCTTAAAGAACACCACACAAAAAATTAAACTGATAAAAATATTATAAAGAATAATCCTGAGTATAAAAATAGAGTAAGTGAGTAGATTAAGATTACTGGAAATATTGAAATCTTGAGAAAATAACTACGAGTCTCCAATTTAGGCAACCCATGCGCACCTGATATCAATGGTCGGCCTGTTAAATTTGGGTTACCGATATTACATGCTGAAAATTCCATAGTTGTTTCAAAATTAAGGTGTGGAATAAGGCTATAATAGAAAAATAATATAATAGCAGGATTTTAACACAATATTAGTAGTGTATCCTTCCCATCAGTTCACTTATTAGATATGTCAATCAATAAAAACAATGGCAACAGTAAACAATAGACACCAACTTCATACGACTCTGAAATAGTCAATCAAATTCTACCGGATGAAAAGTGGTACTTAATTTACAAAGAAGTGTACCTACGAGATACATGTAATGAAAATGAAACATATAGGATATATACCTCTAATATGCTGCCAAAACTGGTTCCAGATTCTCATATAAGTAGTTATATACATATCAAACCACTATATATTCTCTATTTCTCCAGCTGTAGCAGATACTGGTTGCATATACGCAGTATATTAACCAAGGGAGAGCTTTGATTTGGAGAAGAAAGTGTCTAAAAAAAATCACCAGTTATGTACAACTTACCAACTTGGTTACAGGATTCCTCATATAAAGTGGTTGCATCTGAATGTATAACCATCGACAGCCCGGTTATACTTGTGCAGAGTCATTATCCCTCCATATATGCGTGTTTTATTCCACCCTATGAACACATTTTCCAAATAGAAGTCAAAAACTAAATCTAGGAGACATTTTTAACGAGGATTATGACCAGCGACCATTTGTCATGCTGAGCTATCTGATTGCTCAAATCAAGGTCATTTGACTCTGGTGTCTATTGTTTACTCTCACCATTAACGTCACTATCGTTCATAGTAAGTGTTGGTTCGAGCGTCTTCAAAGATAATAGGAACCTAGGGTTGAGTTCCTTGACAGACACACTTAACGTGTGCATGCTTTAAAGCTAACGGATCGTGCTATCTATGAAGACAAGTAAAAGTAGGATTTAACCTCCACTTGAATTGGTTTTAAGCATTTATAAAATAATGCCTATGACGTCCTTGGATATTCTTAATTCTTTTATGAAAAAGCTTCTCTTGAAATGCACAATGCATGTCCACTTTTTACTTAATGAGGAACTATATAGACATATCGACGGTTTGGCGATGGGGACCCATTCTAGCCGAAAAATTCCTTGCGAAACTAGAAAATAATGCGCCTTTGAAGGATGTTATTGATGAACTTGAATTCTATTGTTGGTACATGGATGACACATTTTTGATTATGAAAAATGAGAAGGAGGAGGGCAAAGAACATCCCAGACAAAGTTAACGAAGTTCATCCTGCAATAAATTTTACCATCGACAAAGAAAAATACTCTAGTGTTTCATTTCTAGACGTCCTTATGAACAGAAAAGAGGATGTCACAATAACAAGAAGTGTATATAGAAAACCTACATCAACTGACTGTCGGTATACTCAGCTTCGTGGCCTTGAAATACAAACGCAATCTGATAAAGTGCTTGGTCCACCACCGAGCAAGAGAAATCTGCTCGGATGAACGTCTTGATCAGGAACTTAATAATAGTAGAGGGTTGATGAGTGGAAATGGCTATTTACAAAAGTTTATTGATAAGAATATGAATCTAAAATCAAGGAAGTTCAAGGTTCCAACAGTTACGAAAAACGAAGGCCTTATTCTTACAAATACAGTTCCTTGGGGAAAACATCAGCGAGATACTAACACAACGCCTTAGAAATGAGACGGTAAAAAGAGCATACAGTGCTGCTTCCAAATTACGCTGCGTCTTCAAAACCACCCATTCCTCGTTTGCGTTCGTTCGGCAGTAAAAGACAAACTGCCTAATTCCACCTGTTCCATGTGTGTGTATGTACCAATTTAACTGCTCCTGTGGAGTGAGTCAGCCAGTTACTTCCATAGACCGTACACAATTAGGCGTGTTTCTCGTCGAATTTCCGAATATCACGTCACCATGCACAGTGGTTCGTTGGTTAAGTAAACGACAAACAAAATCTATCCCCAGCGCTATTCTATCTATCTCACTCATCTTCTTGTGGATACAGAACACAAGACTGATTGATGTTAACCAAGCGGCTTTCAGGGTCATTTACCGCATATCAACCAATGAATCTCAATTTCGCCTTAAGAGTAGTTCGGCTACTAAATATTGATGAGGCTGGCTGGCCGTGTTGGGATCCAGATTAACAAGCCCAATTTGTGCATCCAAAAGAAGTTGGTTGGTTCATACATTATCCTTACCCACTTTGCCTGGACATCTAGGTTTGAATGATCCTCAAATTTTGTGAAATTTTCCTAATTTTAGTTGATATTCTATTTCCTACTATTATCTTATTATTATTATTATAATTTAAGCATCTTTAATGAACTGTGGTGATTCCATTGTGATCTTACTTTACACATCGATATTATAACTTAAAAAGCACACGAATATTGTTATTGACTACTACTAATCTAGAATGTTCTATGTATATAAACATATGCATATGCATATATATAATTGTAGAGCTAGAGGAGGAGGAATTTATCGAAAAGGATATTCTTTTGCCTCGCTCAATTATTTTGCGTACTTACTTTCTGTTACAATTGGCAATGATTTATACAGAGCCAAAAAAAAAAGACAGGATTACACAATTACGTCATTTTCATAAACGACAGCCAATTGATTTTATGCATAGATTTATCAAACCTAATCAAACGCCACTTACTAATACTAACTGTTATATCAGTGGTCTTTAAATTTTCCGGCCACCAAATAGGAATGCTTAGGCCGAGTAAAAGAGCAATAGGCGTGAAGAGAATTTCACCGGAATCTCTTTCATCCCGAAATGGATCCACTAAAGCACTGAAGTAAGATGAAAGGCGATAAGGCTGAAAAAAAGAAAGCGGAAAAAAACACATTAAGAGTTGTATGATTTTCCGTTAGATTGCCATTACAAAACAACAAATATATATATATATGACTGAAAGAAGACATGAACGAACACTTGGTGAAATTAACTCTATTATAACCATCATCATTAAAAATATTCGGAAGTTGACTTCGCATAGGAATTTTAACAACTCTAAAGGACATTTCATCATGAACCAACCAACACAAATATACACTGATGAGAACCTCTGCGCGTCACAGTTTATTATTGCCAGTTCTTTAATTGTGATACCGATTTCTAATAAAGTGTAGTTACAACATTGCTACAGACAAAAATCAGCCAGCATATATGAGAGGAGCCTGAAAGAAACTACCTCATTCACCTAACTGGGAAGCAGCGTTTCAACTACAGGCCGATGGAACTGACGAGGATTGCATCAAAGCAGCGAGGATCGCCAACGCAAAACAAGCTTTCATTACTCTTAAGTCTGTGTGGAGGTCAACATCACTCAGCATGAAAATGAAAATAAGATCCGGATTTTCAACTCCAAAGTGAAGTCAGTCAGTGCTACTCACTTTACGGATCAGAGACTTGACCAGCGCGTCGTAAAGACCAACTCAAACAACTACTACACACCTTCATCAACAGCTAGTTGTCTTCGCTCAATACCACTCAAGATCAGATGGACAGCCGGCCAGAAAAGATCAGAAACAGGGAGGGATCTCTGGAAATGACTGAACCAACCCAACACACCACGAACCGATTGTGCAACAAATAAGACGGAAGAAATGGAGTTAGGTGGATTGGATTGTGGCCATCCTCTGAGAAAACAAACCATCAAGTGAGTGACATCGCTAGACAAGCCATTTCTCCAGTGGGACCCGACCGAAAGCGAAGTGGCGAGTTGGTCGTCAGTGTGACAGTGAGGGTGACATGGAGGAGGTCATGTGAAGGGGAGGAGATGAAAGCATGTGGGGACACCTGGAGCCAGGTGAAAACGTTGGTGGAGAACCGAATGCAATGGAAACGTGGGCGGTTGAAGCCCTATGTTCCTATAGCAATTAAAGGAAACAATACTAATAATGTGCGTCAGCGGCACAGTGGTTAGGACTCTCGGCGACCATGCACACTGTCCGGGGTTCGATCTCCTGCCAACGCACACCTAATATCAATGGTCGGCCTGCAAAATTTGGGCTACCGATATCACATGCTGAAAATTCCATAACTGTACCAAAAATACGGTGTAGAATCAAGCTGTAAACAAAAAAATAATTGTAATAATAATACAAATCACTTTGATTGGACACTAGTAACTAGTGATAAAATTCAGTCTGCGCCAATGAAAGGACTAGACACGTCACACTAGTTACTAGTGTCAAATCAAAATACCCACTACAGTCCTACAGGAGGTCAATCGCGGGCCCGAATAGCTCAATGGTGATGTCTCTGACTGCAGTTGGCACTGGGTGACGCGGGTTCGAATCTCAGAGGGGACATGGGTTCCTTCAAGGTTGCAGATACGACTTGCTGATGAGTGCCAACTAGCACGAAACCTGGGTCATGTTCAAGTCTTACTGTGGCCGATTGCCTTCAACCATCTAATACAAATCACTATTAGTGCTACTACTCTTGTGGCGAGAGCTGTCTTCTAGCCAAAAATTGGTAGACAGTAATTTACGTCAATGTTTACAGTCATGAGAAAAGAACAAGAACAAATGCTGACTGACTCAACCACCAATCACAGAACACTTTGTTTGCGCGGACGAATACAATTAGCAGATGGCAGATGATCTGACCTCCAAGAAACAGTCACAAAGAGAAACAACCAATCAGAAGACTGTGTTTGTCTGCTAACTATAATCTATAATAATGTTCATGAAAATCTATAAATGTGTTGATTTCCTAAATAAACGATCTGTTTGCCTGGCCCTTTTTTTCTGTTGTTACACAGGTAAACTTTATGTAGTGTATCATATCATTAGGACAATGAAGAATACAGACATCACACTCAGGAATGTTTTCAATAAATGCGTTAGTTGTAATTATGACACCTTAAAGAACACCACACAAAAAATTAAACTGATAAAAATATTATAAAGAATAATCCTGAGTATAAAAATAGAGTAAGTGAGTAGATTAAGATTACTGGAAATATTGAAATCTTGAGAAAATAACTACGAGTCTCGAATTTAGCCAACCCATGCACACCTCTATACGAATTAGCTTGCAAATCCCCAGTGAGTCATATGGAAAAGGGAAGACTACAGCGAAGAGACTCTTTTCGATGGCGAATTCATTCACATAGAAGATGAACTGGACAATCTCAAGTGAATCCTCGTCGAGAAATGTTATTCAGAAAGATTTATTGCAAAATCTATGAATCCTAGACCACAAAAGCCGCCCATACTTAGCATTCCGAAAAAACTTCTCTACATGAACCTTCAATTCAATGGAGATATATCTACGGAAACACTAAAAAATCGACTGTCGCGCTCACTCAAGAAGACTTTCGCAGCTGAACTACGACTAACTTTCTCCACAAAACCTATGATTAATGTGAACGTGAAGAATAAGCTACCACTGCTGGCCACCTCATCAATGTGTATCTACCAATTCACCTGCTCGTGTGGAGCCAGGTATGTCGAACGTACACAACCAGCGTTCGCTTTCCAAACGTATCACCGAACACTTACCAACATGGTTTTACAAAGGAGAAAAACGATGCCCCCATGAAGCTCCATCTTAGAACATCTGATAAAATCCGGACACTAAGCTGCACACCCCAAACAAACTTCAAAGTCGTCTACAGAGTAAAAAGCAGTCTTCCTAAAGGGGTGTACGAATCAGACTTCTTCAAACTGCAGAAGCAATGGTGATTCACTTGCTAAGCCATGAACTCTGCATATAGAAGAAGTTCGTTCAATCACTACATTCGCAATGGAGGTAATCTATCTTATTACCCGACAAGTAAATTCTACCTAATCCTTTTCTCTCTTCTGTCTCTTCATTAGTAGTATTTTGTCCTCTCAATTGTAATATTTTACAGTTTCAACTTTCTTGTTCTTTACCCCCACCCGATTTAATTTCTACACCTCACTACGACTGTTACTGACTTGACCAACGCTCAATTTCTAGTCATTTATGTTACGTCATCCAACTTATTTGCTCAATTTCAGTTCTAATTTAAATGGCATTATTCTTTACCCCACTTCTACTTAGTCTCTCTCTACCTGTAATTACCTTTGTTGCTACCCTGACTTAAGTTGAAACATTTTAGTCAATTATATTGCGTCATCTAACTTACTAACTCAATCTTGTATTACCTGATTAATTATCTAAACTTGACAAATCTCATGTACACACACACACACACACACAAATAATTATATATAAATGCAGTTGTACAGCTGGCTATGTGAATGAATTCACCGGCGAAAAGAGTCTCTTCGCTGAACGTCTTCTCTATATGAATTAGATCAAGTATCAAGCTAAAAAACGCACAAATAATATCAAACATCATTATTTTTTACACAAAACAAATATTAGCACAAATTACATTAACTTTCTGTGTAATTGATAATGTACTTTATATCATATAGTGAGTTTAAAAAACAATTCAACAGTAAATGGTTTAAAGTGGATCATCGAGGGGTGGTGTTACCAAATTCTCATTCACTACAGAAATTACAGTTGTAGAAAGCTTTATAACGATTAACATATGAGATAACTTTAATAAAAGTTATCCACACTAAATTTCATCGACAAGTTAGATTTTTCACCTTCCTTTAAAAAGAATTTAAATTATTTAAATCAAATCCCAGCGTGTTTAAGAAAAGGAGAAAATCAAAACAAGATCTGTTTTAGGGACGTATCGCTGTGTAAGCTGACACAGCCAGCTTGTTTAGCAGTAGATTTATTCGGATTTTTTATTATTCATCAAAATATATATATATAGTCAAAACATTTTTACATAAACTGAAGTCAGTTTATTTGAAGGTCTGTCTGTCTGTCAATCTATTTTCAACACATAGAACATTGCACCGATTTGCACCAGTTCAAGTCACCACACTTGATGTAGCACACAAAGCAAGAGAAGAAAGTAGAAGAAATGCATAGTAGACAGACAGAAAACAGAGGTGTGAGACAAAGGAATAGTAATAACGAAGAACGGTTTTGAGTCATGTCACCAATAGTTTCCAACCATTGGTATTTACCGTCCCGGTCATTTGTCCATGGACATTTGTACCAATAGAAATATGTAAGCAGTCATCAATCCTATATTTGTAATGACTAATGTCAAATTTAGATAAAGCAATAAGAAGACGTAGTTTGTCTGTCTGAATCGTGTGTAATGTGCATGTATGCGCGCAACACATTGCGAACAATCTGATCCACCACACACGTACACGGACTTGTCATAGGAATAAACGGAATATGTGGAAATAATAAAGAGAGTTATGAGGTGGGTGAGAAAATAGACTACTTGACTTGACTTCTTAGGTCAAGTTAAAAGTAGGACATATTAAAGGTCAAGATAACAATGAAGATGAATGACTAATCCAAATAACAGATCGTCTGAGGAGGAGTTGAAACAGTGTGGACTAACATGGACGCAGGTGAAAAGTACAGCAGAAGACAGAAGTGGCAAGTGGAGACGTGCAGTTGAAGCCCTATGTTCCACTAGGAACCCAAGGGAGCAACAATAATATCTTCTATGGTTTGGTTTGTAAGAATTAATTTTATTTTTAACAAGTCGATCACTGATTGATATCAGTTGGAGAACCATTGAAAACCAGCCGCAGGGAGTACTAGACAGCTGTTTCATCAGCCTTGCTTAGGAATCACAAGCAATACGCACCCACCACACGGGTTCGAACCCAGGACCTTCCGGTTACAAGCAAGGCAAGCTGGCTCGTAAACCATTCAGCCACTCACTGGGAACCGATTCCTCAATGGCCAGTGTATGAATTCTAACTTCTACCAATTCTTGATGCATTT